CCCCCCCAAGGTTATGATTTTCAAATTGTACAGGGGGGCTCTCATCTCCTATGCGGAGGACTCAGCCCTACCAAGCTCCCTGGTAATTCAGACCCTGGTGTTACCCTTCCTGGCAGCAGAACTGAAGCAGGGCAGTTGCCTAATCTGGGTAAGGTGCTGTGCTGATCATCCTTGAGGGCCCTGATCTACTTCCAAATTAAAACTGGATAGAAACCAATTATATTGTGGTTTCCTATTCTCAAATGCTAACTTTGAAGCTGGTTTTCTCTCTTTAAAGCAGGGTAGTCATTTTTATCGTGTGCTCGTTACTTGCTGCGTGTGACTGGTCTAAATTTATTGCAGGATTAACTTGTTAATTCTATTACTTTGCATGTCTGGCCAGTCTAAATTTATGTTGGGTAACTGTAATATATGTAATTTTATAGCGGGGGCCTGAGTTAGCAATGTGCAGCCTTCTGATAGCATGGCCATTCAGTCGTTTCACTGGCTATAATTCCCTTTGGAAAGAAGAGGCAATTTATCTTTAGTATTTCCCTTCCATCATTGTAGGGCTCCACCAAACACAAAAGCCACCTTTTCCCCTTACTACGTCTCTTTCCCCCCAGCCTGTTTATATGTTACAATTTTAAAAGGTGCAAGTATCTCACATTTCTGAAGAAAGGCTCAGGAGTTAGTTGCTTGAGGTTGTGTTAGGGTTAATCTACCAAGTTCTTTATTGTTACTTAGTTATTTTGCATTCATAGGATATGACTGTAGAAGAATGAAATATATAAATTGATCAGAAAAATCTCAAAATGATTGTTATATTCCAACTGTATATTGGTTTGTAAGGCTGTGCAAAACAGCACCAATCTGTTTTGACCTGAGTTTCGAGGTTTCGACAGAACAGCATTTTGTTTTGAATTTAATTTCAATTTGAAACCACTGTTCTGTTTTGTTTTGTCAAAACAGTGACACTGTTTCAATGCTGTTTCAACATTTCACCCATACGATATAATGGGGAAGCTTGAAACAGCCTCTCTTACCTGGCAGGCAGATGGGAGTCCGCAACCCTGAAAGGGCTGTGGGGGATGTGCCAGTCCTACTGGGGCTGCGTGCCTGATCTGCCTGCCAGATGAGGGAGGGAAGCTGGGTGCTGCCGCCTGGGACTGGGGAGCTGGGGAAGGAAACTGAGCCTGATCGCTCAGTTCCCCTCCCCAGCACTATGATCAGGCTGGGGAAAGGAACTCAGCCAAGCTGAGCTGAGTTCCCTTCCCCAACGCTAGGATCAGACTCCTTTCCCCAGCCACATGGGGCTGCAGAGCCGCTGGGAGCACAGCCATTGTTCTCCTCTGTCTGTCACCACCTGGCTGCTTCGGAAGTTTTGAAATGTTTCGACTAGCCTTGTTTTGTTTCATGGCTGTTTCGAAGCCCTTTGTTTTGATTTGATTTTTCTGTTTTGAGCTCGGAATGAGTCAAAGCAGTGTTGAATTGAAACATCCGGTGAAAATTTGCACAGCCTTATTGGTTTGGTTTTTTTAATGAGCAATCACATAGGCATTATATATTCTTATCACCAGAGTGTTCTTATGGCAAACCTTTTCAGAGAATGACTACAGGTTCTCCATGTCAGTGGATCCATAAACTCATGGAGATTTTTATTGACTTCAGTTAAAATTTTGCTGGGGGGTTTGTCCATATTGTCGCACTAGGTTGGAGATGCCCAGGCATGGCCAGGCCGGTGGAGTTGGCACCGACAAGGACATGGCTTGAATTATATCAAACTTTTTATTTTTACTTAATAAAATGCACAAAATACTTTGCTACTACTACTTCCCACGCTAATCTCAATGACTTACATATATAAACAATTAAAACAATTACAAACAGTTAACAACGGGGAATTGTGTCCGTTGGGTCACGAGGTTCAGGCCGAGGCCCCTTGTGTTCAAAACCACGAGCGGTCTTGGTGCGGCTGGCCTGGGCCCTAGTCTCAGACCTGGTCAACGGCTCATAGAGGCTATTTAACAGTTAGGAAATTAACAACAGGGAATTGTGTCTGTTGAGTCATGAGGTTCAAACTAAACTCCCTTGCGTTCAAAACTACCCTGTGAGTAGTCTTGGGGCGGCTGAGTTTAGTTCTAGTCCCAGACCTGGTCAACAGCTCACAGACTTCAAGAGGCTATTTAACAGTTAGGCTTGCATGCTTACCACAAAGACAAACAGGAGTGGCTTCATGGCTGGGGAACGCTAGTCACTTCGCGGAGGCCTGAAAAACCGACCTGAGATGGCTCTCGGGGAGGGGCGGCCCTGGC